ATTTGTGTGCATTCATGTCTGAGATATCAAAAAGTATTTCGAAGATAAGTGAAGTGCGTCAATACGCAGCGCGGCGGAAACTTTCTTTTTTCTTTTTCTTTTTTTTTTTTAAAAACGTTACCCCCACACTGGGATTTTCTCCTGTGTCGTGGAGGCAGTTAACAAACATAAATTGCACAAGGACAAACATCCAGACCCGGAACAATTATTTGTAGGCCATACAAATACTTGTTCCGTGCGGGATTCGAACCCGCGGCCCCCAGCGCAACAACTGATTGCTAAGCCACTGCGCCACGGAGCCGTCTTTCTTAACTGTTTCCCTGCTTGCGACACAATAGTTAAACAATCGAAATATTCATATATGATTCATGGGACAGGAATAAGATTAAAACTTTCTCAGAATTGAGAGTAGATCTGTGCGTAGCAGTGGGATTTAAAATTTTCTGTAGTTTAAACATAAAAGTACCGGTAAGTAAATACTGGTAATCCAAGTGTAGTGCGTACCCCCACTACATGGAGTGACGACCTGGTAAGGTATACAAGAAGTCGATGGATGCAGGTGGCTAAGGGTCGTGCTTTACGGCATTCCTTGGAGGAGGCCTATATTTAGTACTGGAATAATGATAATTATGATGATGATGAAACATTAAAGTAGTTAGTTACCTGATGTCTCTAATAAATTAGTGTACCAAGAACAAGGCTATAAGAACTTCAATTGATCCTCAACATATTATATATTATCATAATTTAAAAATAAATTCATCACACGCAAAAACAGATGATTATTTGTGCGTCAATTGTCGTGGGCGTATTCATTGTGTTTCCGAGAATGTTACATACGCACAAAATTTCCTAAATGATGACGATTAAATAGATAATACTCGAAAAAGGGCGGAAAGGAAACAGTAAACGGGACAAACGCATTAATCAGTTTTAAATACATATTTTTACTATCGTAGTGTGTGTTGTGTGCACTGAGTACATATTAATATAGATTTCTACACATATATAACAAAACACTTTTATATATGTACACTATGTTGTACATAAATAAATAAATTCCACAATCTTTAGGGTTTTCACGGAATTGCGCAAATAATATTGTATCCTATGTAGCTGGTACTAAAGGAATGCTTCGGTGGTTTGGTCACGTAGAAAGAATGAATGAGGGAAGAGTGACAAAGCAAATTTATGTTGCAGAGGTGAACGGCAGAGTCGGGAAGGGACGCCCTAGGCGAAAGTTTTTTTGAAAATGGCCCAAATTAAGAGTACCTTTAACCGATGAGCGTGTGCGTAGGTATATGGATGTAGAGGAAGTGAGAGAGGTGTTTCAGGATCGTGCCAAGTGGAAATCTATAGTCTCTGTCTACCCCTCTGAGTGACAGGTGTGAGTGTTTATGTTTATGTTATATTACTAGCATGGCTAAGAAAGAGGTTTGTTGTTTCACGGATTTATGTAATGTATATACATATTTATGTATGTGTGTTTGTTCATTTATTATATCTTGCAGCTACTAGCTTAACTACTACACTAATTTTGATGTGCTTGAAGGGCTAGGTGTTGTTAGAATTATCTTTACCTGCGGTGTGTAAATATTGCTTAATATTTATGGTAATAATCTCAATACGCTGCTAGGAAAATTTACTATGCGCGCATTCTGACGAATTATTTTTGTTTTATCAAAACACAGTAATTGAATTCACACTATTTTGTCCCTTGGTGTATTTTTAATGTCCTCGAGACTGAAGTAGGCGGTGGCTCTTCTGTTTTACTATAAGAGGCGGCTCGAAATTGGTCCATGAGTGATGACTATGCTTGGAGTTGTTCGGCGTGATAGAAATTTAGTAGGTGGATGGACTCCTCACTTAGTAGGTACCGCCGTCTTATCTATCATCACCGTCAAATATCAGGGCCTGCTCTGGTGCTCTGCTGAGTTCCGGCCTGAAGGTTATAGAGAGCCATTGAGTTATATGTACTACGTACTAGAGAAGGCATTCTAAACAAAAAAATGTGCACTACTCTATGTCTTCGCGCATGCGCGGGAGATAGTAGAGTCGCGCATGCGCAGTTGATATAATGGCGTTGCGCCTGCGCGGTCAGTTTTTAATTTAAACTTTAATTTGAAATCCAAAGAGAATATTATAATCACTATATTGAAATCTTGTATTATTAGCGCCGCTCCACACTGCATGTATATTGAGACCACAGACTAAGTATTACATGCAAACCACACTAAATGACACACTGTACGGATTGCAGTACAGTTTAGTTGAACATAGTGTATGTTCGGAATGCGAAATCTAGTACGTAGTACATATATATATCGATGTAGAGAGCCAGTAAAATTACAAGCTGTGAGGCATTCCGTCGTAGTCCTCAGAGGAACAACGCACCTGTAGCCTTCTTTGGATGTTTGCCGCAGGTACATTGCAGTAGCTACTTACCATCAGGTGGACTGTAAGTTCGATTGTCACTTCAGTCTATTTATAAAAAAAACCGAGATAATGATGTTCACAGAAGAAAACACAGTAACCGGCACAGCCCAACATTAGTAAGCCGAAGTATAAATTAGTCTACCAATATTTAAAAAAAAAAGATTTCCGAGTAGCAGCTTCTTATCTGCTACGTTCAGCAGTATTCTCGTCGTAGGCTCCAACAGTTAACATTTTACGGAATATATTCTTAAAATTGAACCATGAAAAATTATTTAAAAACTAAAACTTTAAATAGCAAAAGAAGGATATTAGTTGCGATTCTTAACTTTGTTTCACTTAACGGTACTTATTTGTTTTTTGTTTTATTGTTTTTCTCCATTGTTTAACCGTCAGTGTATTCGCACACGGTAATTTTTTTTCGAAGTCCCCATTTTCCTTTTACAAAATCACATAGTAAAAAGTCTTCGTAAACAGTATAAATCGAGCGAATGGGACTAGGTAACTGCGTATTTCCGATCTCACAGGGGTGCTTTTCGTTGAAACCAGATATGTCAAAGTCACAAAAACAACGCGGGAATAACAAACGACGTAAATATTTTTGTTGCGTTCGGGAAAACCGACGCTCGGACAAAACGATAATCGTAACTGATACTTGGTTGTGTGTATTGTACTGTGACGATTTGCGGCTCGGAAAAGTAAGGATGGTAGTATACGATATGTGCGCAATCAGTTATGCGGGCATGAAATATTTTTACGCAAATGGAGAAATATTTGGGTTTGGTTTTTAAAAAAATTCGAAGTTCAACAGTTAGGGCCCTTTTGGCACCTCAAACTTTAAGTACAATAGTACGAAAGTACGGAGTACTCACTGGTTGCGATATTCGTAATTTCTTTCTTGATACAATGTGGCTTGATATCATATTTTTCGCTTCCAAGCAGTTTCTAAAATAAATTTTGTAAATAGTTCGTAATCACTTATATTGTAAAATTTATTTTAAAAAAAAGTCCCGCTGGGTTTCTTGCTGGTTCTTCCCAGGACAGAGGGTTTTTTTCGAACCAGTGGTAAAGTAAAAAATGACTTTCAATAAGAATTACACATGTAATGTATATTGAATAATAAATATTCTATTTCTATTCTATTCTATTAAACTTGGCGATTGTGGTAAACCAACTATAGGAAGGACCTTGTTCAGCTGCAGACTATACTTTTTCTTCTTTATTTCATCATAAAAGTCTACTGCTGGATGTGGCCCTCTTATTTTTTAATTTTATTTCAATAATAAGATCTTTCGAGCATTTTCCATATACGCTTCTTATAACACCCACAGGACGGAATGGGAGATGGATTATTTTATGCTGATACCGCCCAACAGATTATTACAGTCATGTAATAATTGAAAAGAAACAAGTAAAACAAAGTGTATTTTTAGTAGGTAGTAGGTTTAATGCTATTGTGATCATTCTTACGTTTCCCATACTGTCAAATTTAGCCCTAAAGATCCCGACGAGGTTTCATGGCCAAAGCTCTTCCGAAGTTTCAAGGCGTATGCGGTATGTAGGTACTCTCTACATTGAATACATTCTTTGTTTATTCGATCAGTCATGCTTTATGTCACACCTAAAATATTATATTGTGCCGACGACTTTTACCATATCTATCTACCTCCTGTTTCTGTTTCTGTTTCTGTTTCTCCAGTGAAGGATGTTGCATTCTCGGCAATTGCCACGCACATAGGGTGACCATATCTCAGGATTTGTCCTGGGATTTCAGGATTTTTAGACTCTTCTCAGGATTGCGGCTGGATTTTGCAAATCTCATGAAATTTCAGGATTTTTAGAACTTTCAATATAATACAACTTACATTTTAAAGTTTTCTTTAATAAAAAGTTAAACAAGCTAAAAATAATTTTCCTTTGGTAATAATTCCACAATTAAAATCAAAACTTATTTTATCCAAGTAGGTACCTAAACAGTTTTATCATACTTAATATGTGAAGATACCTTTTTAAGTAAGGTTTTCTTCTCAAACTGTAAAAAAATCTCGGGATTTGTAAATGGAAATCAGGCCTTTTCTCCGGACTTTAAATTTTTTCATCTGGTAACCCTACACGCACATAGCTTATTAATCAGATTTTATTAAAGAGTACAATAACAACAAATATTGATATTGTTCCCGTCATCGGATTAAAAAACCCCTTCTTACATCATGAATGCATCACACATATAACAAGATTTTCTTGCAATCGACTGCATATGGCAAATGGCGTAAAGCCATCCAATTATCAGTGACACAACCGAGTCCAACCGGCACATATTGTTATCTGAGGCCGAGTAGCAAAGGCTCACTCATCATTAAATTTACATCAATAAAATAATCGGTTAGTCCGTCAGTGTCAGTACATCGGCGGACGTCGGCCGCAATCGTCGTGTGTACTCTACAGTGAATACATTCGCTAAATTACGGAATAAATAGTTGCATAAATCACAATTATAAACGAAACGATTTCAACGTTCGCGTTTGGACTAATAAGTGTACGCCTGTGTCCTTTTTTTTATTTTTAAAATGGCCGACGGGGATGTGCCATTGGTCACGAGTTTTGGCGGCAGCGAAATCGAATTTGGCGCTAACGGAACCAAAGTGACGAGAACAAATTCAAGGTTAGTTTTTGTTATTTATTTACACAATTAACATAAAAATTTATTCTTGAAATTTAATACTTATTTCACTAATATTAATAAATCTATATTAATTTATTTTTATTTTAAATATGGAATGTACTGTTCCATTTCTATAAGTTGCTTAATTTTAATAAAAAAGAAAGGCGATATTAATAAGAATGTTAACAACGCATAATTATTCATCTTGAATCTTGTAGAACGGGTCGGAATCTGTAGTACATTTGCATTGGACTCTTTTCGTAAGGTCGCTTTGGGAGGTCGAAGTTTATTTTTTGTCGTTAATGAATAAATAATCATTATGCTTTGGTTCTTCTTTTAATTATTTTCAATCACTTTTAATTTTAACATACTAGAAATTAACTTAATATTTTTAATGGTTTCACGGAGTTCGTAAAAAATTTTAATAGGCAAGTTATGTGTTCGTGTGGTCAATTCAATTCTCGCGTGCCTTGAATCGATGTTTTATTATTTTAACGAACATAAAGGATCTTCGTGGATTTAAATAAATTACAGAAGCACTCATTAATTGCCAGCAGAATCATATTAATTACCTACCTTAATTATAACGCATACAGTAGCGATAGATTCTAATCTCAGTTCTGTTTGTGCAATCGTGCAATCGCATTGAGCAAATATTCTGAATCTGTATTCTATTTTTAAACTTAGGCGGTAAACGAACTGAATGATGAGCTACATAACATCTCAATGGCTAGGAATAAATTTATAGTTGGTAGGTACCGTTGTTTATGCAAAATTGGAATATCGGAAAAATTTGCAAGTGTTATAATTTTTTTTATAGAATAAAGTTGACAAATGAGCACACAGTCTACCTGATGGTAAGTGGATGCTGGGGCCCATAAACATCTATATTTATCCTCAATTACGAATCAAAATGCACGTGCGTTGTCACCCCTGAGGACTGAAATGGAATGCCTCGTTTCCAGTAAAAAGGGTCTCCGGTTCTCTACACTCACCACACGAAACACAGCAGCATTAAACTGCTATTTTACGCTGGTATTCTGTGAGCGTGATCCTACCCCGGTCGAGCCAACCCATTCGTGCTGCAAGCACAATACAACTGCAACATGGTTCTATCCTTTAAAAAAAAACACGTAAAAATTATTTTTTAATGTTCGAAAATATTTATCAAGATAGACATAAATTGTACAAATTCTTTGGACATCAAAAGTTATTATATAACGATAATGAACTTTTTTATCTGTAAAATACTATGGTCACTCAGAAAGTTTTACTTAAACTTTCTGAGTGACCATAGTATTTTGTTATTAACATATGTTATACCTAAGGAATCTGAAGTATAATAATATGTATTTTACGAGCTATTTGCAAATAAGGAAAATCGGAAGTTATTTTTAGAAACCTCAATGCGTATATGCTAGGGTCTTATATTCATCCATCATGTCTTGTAAAAGGCGACATCCTTCACATCCTATAAAAATCCACTGCGGAACATAGGCCTCCGGCTTAGCTTTCCATTGACTCCCGTCGAGTTGGGGGTTGATACGTATTTTACAGAGAAGTTACACTATTATAAGCACACACATAAAGTTTCAATATGCGGAAACGCGTACTTTTTGAGAAAAAACATTATTTGTAAATTAATTATTTTTGCAATGTTTATGTTACATTTCTAGCGTAAAACTGGCGCCATTTTGTAATGTCATTGTCGTCGTCAGTACGGATGGTTACAAAGCAAACTTTACAGACTGGCTTATTGAATATTCTTGGCGAAGAAAAATAAAAATAACACATAAAGATGTCCTCGAAGAATTAATTAAGACTATTCAATATGTTTACAAAATTGATTAATAAATTATTAATTATATTTGATTTACTGTATTTTAACAGTACCTATTAGGGCAGATAATAAAAAAAATAGGTTAGGTTATACTTATGTCAAAGAACCAAATTTATTGACCCCGACTCCACGTGGTACGAGTCTGTCCTACCCCTAGAGTGGTTATATAGAACCGGAGGCGCGTAGGGGGAGATACAGAAATCCCTCTGAATTAGTCCCCCTACACCTCCTCCCCCCCCCCCCCCTCAATTCGACGAATGTCAATGGAAATTCGTAATAAAATGGGCTCAAAAGGGCTAGAACCCAGAGCCGTAAAGTCAATTAAAAAAACAACAAAATATTGTTAATTAGATTTTTATTAATTTATTTCTCAAAAGTTACGTGTTTCCGCATATTTAAACATTGTGTGTGTGCTTATAAAAATGTAACCTTTCTGTAAAAATACGTATTAACACCAAACTCGATGGGAGTCAATGGAAAGTCGTACCTAGGACTCCCCTTAGATAGCTTTTTAGGGAGAATTTTGCTAAAGTTGCCATGCTTGTCAGGCGGTTTGGCAACCGAGATTTTTATTATTTTTGAGCTATTATCAAAAAAATACAACTACCGATCTCTCAATCTCTCACACTTCCCCGGTCGAGCCGACCCATTTGTGCTACAACTATTCTACGGCATGGCTCTATCACGTATAAATTATACGCCAATAACATTATTTTTACTACACTGATAATTAAACATTGGCTTTATTAGTAAAGTTACAGCCTATATCCGGCACACTTCCAGCTTCTAGGCACAGGCATCTTCTCCTTTCTGGGAGAATTATGGAGTGATTAGTCCGCCATGTTACTCCAGTAATGCAATTTTCCTTTTTCAACACGATTTTTTCCTCCATTAAAATTGCAAGTATCAATTTTATAAGTGCCGTCATGGCCGTCGGGGATCAAACCCAGGTTGCTCTTGTACAGTGTTTCCGGCAAGCGCTTATTCCTTGATCTACCACGGTTTATCAGCTAATTAACTACCATGTAACAAGAAATACATTTTTACATTTCTTTTTGCGTAGATTAATGCGCAGGTAATAAAACATATTACGTATTAACCACCCACAGATTATAACAAAAAGTTACTCGTACAAAATATTTACATTACCATTCGGCGTGGTCTTATATAATAACAGTGATAATTTGCGACGTTGCATCGTGATTGTATTATGTTACGGGTTATTCAGCGATAAAAACAACTGAATCTTGAGTTTTAATTGTAACAACCGAAGCTATATATATACATATATATATATATATATATATATATATATATATATATATATATATATATATATATATACATAAGAAATTTCCACCTATGCCATTATATATATTTCCACTTACTCATCACTATATCTCTGGAACCATCCCTTTCGCCGAGTAGACGTCAGCAAAGAATACGGATTCTACGAAATTCCATTCGCAAGGGGGATTGCTGGGGCTTTAATTAAAAAAAAGACACATTTTCACACTGTAGCTCTTTATAAGTATAAAACTTGCCCATAATTTTCTTTTTGGTATGTTAATAATTACCAAAACGGATTTTATGAAATTCCACCCACAAAAAGCAGTGCGGGGGGTGTTGAAAAAAGAGAAAAATTAAACTTTTAATGTCGCTTCTCGCCGTCTGTACGCTTAGATCTTTTAATTTAAAATACGAAATAGATTTTGATCGGGTTTTCATCAATAGACAGAATGATTCAAGAGAAAGGTATAAATGTATAATCTATACAAACAAATAAAATTGAAGTGTTTGTTTGTAATGTCAAAATAACAGCTTTTTACTAAAAGCATATGAAAGTATATAAGGTACTTATAACAAAAACACAATTTTTAAAATTTTTGTCTGTCTGTTTGTCTCTTTGTTCAGATGCGTTGTCACCCATGAGGACTAAGATGGAATGCCTCGTTTCCATTACCTCATCATACGAAACACAGCGGCATTAAGCTGCTATTTTACGCTGGTTATGTATATAATTCTTCTGTTCGTGTGTATGTAACTGATCTGCACCTAAACGGCTGTACCGATTTTGATGAAATTTTGTGTGTGTGATTGAGTTGATTCGACGGTTTAAATTCGTAATAGACCCGGTAGGTGGCGCTGTTGACAAGATCCAGAAATCGGGATCTGAACAAACTGGATTATTCACACCGGTATTCGAAACGTTCGAACGTTCGTTTCGAACTGACGACTTTAATTCGCATCCCGTACCCTAATCCATTTGGTTAGTGTCACCTTTAAATTTATTATATCTTTTTATATATTTTCACACATCATCCTCTGGGTGTCGTAAAAGACGACGGGGCTAAGCGCTCGCTGTTAATTTTTAACACAGCACGCGAGCAACCCGAGTTCGATACCCGCTGGCACCAATGAAATCGTTAATTACAATTTAAAGTGCTGACTTACCATGTGCTCGGCGGCAAAGGAAAACATCGTGAAGAAACCTGCATGTCTGAGAAATGAGAAAAAAATATTTCGAAGACATGTGAAGTTCGCCAACACGCATTGGGAGCAGCGCAAGAGAGCACAGGCGTACTTTCAAGAATGAGAGGAGGCCTGTGCCCAGCTGTGGGACGTATATAGGCTATAACTTAAACTTTAACTTTAATAACTGAATTTACTAACACATCTACCAATCGTGCAACTATGGCAAAATCCCCCTTAAGAGGCAATCAATAATGGAGGCCCATGTTCAACAGTAGACTTTAAGAGACTGTAATGATGATGATTCTTACAACCATATTTTAAAACATTTGTTTTACCTTATGAACAATTAAAGCTTTGTTGAAGGAGGTACCTAAACAAGACAGTCATACGAGGCTATTTTCTTAAAACAAAATGCAGTAGTCTTATGCGGTGATTCATTAATGACATTTTATATCACAACATTAACCCATCCAAAAAACGTGGTGACGAAAAAGTATCTATCTATTTTGTGGATTTCTTTGAAAAAAAAAACATGCTGTGTCGTAGTACACTCGGTTGGTAGGAAGTTCTTTTCGTAGTTTTTTTTTTAAATACTAGCAATGCTATTAAACATTACTAATATATTCCCTTAAACCGCTTCTGGTAAGATTAAAATGCATGTGTTAGAAGTGGTCCACGACAGTAG